TTTCTAGGGACTGTCTTGGCAGTTTTGGCCATGGTTGTAAGCTAAGGAATGCGGGTGCACAGGGATGTAGTGTTTCCGGCAAGAGCTTGGTGTTTTTCGGTGTTTAAAGAGGTGAAGGAAACAAGTGATTAAATGTAGAGATGAACATAGGAAAAGGTTGAAGAAAGGGTAAAGTTCTTTACTTAGGGGAAATTCCCCATATTTATAGAGGGACAGTGACGGTACGGTGGCATTAGTGGCCGACCAACATTGGCGTGCATTCAATGTTTTTGGGGAATGGGGGTGATGGGACATTTCAGTCACTTCGAAGGCTGGCATCCGAGTATGATGTCATCATTGGAGGCTCGGAAAATCAAGGTTCAAATCGTTTCATATCATTCCATTCGAAGAAACGCGGGGAGTATCTGTATACGGTCAAAATCGAGGAGCATGATTTTGAAGTCTTAAGCCGAGCTATGGGTCCGAGTCCGGGAGACTCGAAGTAGAGGTCAGATTCGTCTAAGGTACACATACCCCGATGAAGCTGATCGAAGGCCTGACACGGCTTGCATCGAGGGAAGCACAATCTCGTAGTCAATCAAGAAAGAGCGAGAAATTCTTAAGGACACGTGGACAATGGCATAAATTAAAGGATAAGATTTGTACGAAATGGTACAGGTCCGTACTAGGTTGTTATACACCTATACCAATAGAATTCTTTACCACAATAAGGAATTTACTATATTAGGGTTTTCTCCTCCTATTTAAAGGGGACCCCAATCATTTTGTAATGGGAGATCACATTATTCACTGTAATAGAAAATTCTATTCTACTCTTGTTTAACATGCTCAACAATTACTCTTCAGCTTTATTGCCTTTGCTTTATTATTCATACTTTATTGGTCTAAGCTGACCTCGAGGTCCCTGGATAACCAAACTTAAGGCCCCTACTATTTGAACAGCGTTGATTTGGTTCATCATTTCTTCTTATTTAAGCTTAATATTACTTGTATGATCACTAGTATTAGAATATATCACATATCTTTAAAATCACAAATTATCTTTAATTGTTACTCACATTTTCGAGGTAAACAAATCCAAATAAGTATTTCTTGTTCATGGGAAATCGTATGAAGGCTCCAATTGAAGGCATAAGGACTTATAGTTTGATCTTGGAGACTAGACGTCACCTTGATCTGTTACAAATTATTTATGTACCTTGAGTTTCTAGAAATTTGATTTCACTTTCAAGACTTGATGTTTCTGGTCTTAGTAATGGTTTATATAAATTTAACTCGATATTGGTTTTTCTGAATCCATTCCTATTGTTCAACATAATGTTGGAATTAAACGTAGTTCACTTTTCAGAAGCCAGCAGATCCATCTTGCTCTACCACCCATCAGCCTAGGCTTAAATCTCGTCCATCTCCTTTTGGAGTTGGCCGACTTGGTCGATCTTTTGTTGGACCTGCGAGGTTTTGTCATTTGCCACTATGACTAGTTCCTCGTTTCTAACTTAAAAGACCTTTACCTTTTGACCAAGTCGGCATGCTCCTGCCTCAGGACCAATGCTTCTTTCTGATCCCTAACTAGCTCGTCCTGAGGGTCCTTGATGACCCTGTCTTGTTGCTCGCTGAGGAGCTTGTACGTATCCCTTTTTGAGCCTGCTCCTTGACCTCAAACTCAAACTTATTGACCTCGACACGGTACCGGACGAATACTTTGTGTTAATGTAATGATTCTAGCAAATCAATGAAAGTCATGAGAAATATCCAAACCTAAGTAAAATTCAAAGAGATGTAATGATGCCATACCTGGTTAAGAGCTTGTTGCACCTCATTGAAAAGACACGGCCTATCCACCTTATTTATTTTTTCCTGGTCTACCTTGGTCACCACACATCAAAGGTAGTTGTATACTCGTACAGGAGCATAAAACCTGGGCATCCTCCGGGACAGTAAGGATAACCGATCTATTGCGATCGGGGTCCACACTCGGAGCAGGAAACTAATTAATAAGTTTTGGGCTCGAACTCTATCCACCAGCTTCTGATGATGTATCCTTCTTCAGGACTTCCAGGTCACTCAGCCAAGAAAAATCTTCTAAAGTAGACGAGTCCATGCCATCAAGGAAAGAATGAAGGGATCGTCTGCTCCATGAACCCCTTTATCGACTTTCTCTTTCCCTATTTGGGCCTACTCAAGCGTGGACTCGGTCTAGGCGGGCATCCCCATAATTTCCATTACATCGGGCGCTTGCTTCAGAGTGAAGCAGGCGTCCTGAAGGGTCCTACCCTCGGTCTCCATATCTACATCTTGATCCTGAGGGAGGTCGGCCTCACGAGTCTCCCCCTCAGCTGCCTCTTGCTCCTCGGGAGGGTTCGGTCTATGGGCGATAAAAATGTCGTCTTCTTCCAGCTCATCCCTGAGCCGGAGAACCGAATCTGAGTCTGGAACCCTGGAGTTGGTGCTCTTCTTGGGCTTGCGAGTCACCCTCTTCTTTGGTTTTGCCTCAGACCCGGGGATCTCGAAGGTTTTCTTTTCCTTTTATTCTTCTCCCCCGCGGTAGCCCCAAGTTGTCCCATAACAGATGGATCAATGGACAAAGATACGTCCTCGTCCCCTCCCAAAGGCCTAAGCTTGATGGTCTTAGGCGAACCGATAAAAGAAAGAAGAGAAGTTAGTATGATGTGAGCTAAGAACACGATAATAGCTATTTGAAGGAGAGCCCCACCATGAGAATGTGCATCTCATCGTCCCTTAAAAAGCTTGCACCATGAGTGCTCGAAGTATGACATATGTTTGCAGATGCCTTCGATCCACTCCATAAGATGGGGGACCGCATTTTGGACCCGAGAAACAACTGTACAACCACATATACAAAATGATGATGAAGGAAAGAAAATTGACACTTAAGGAAAGGCCACACTTATGAGATGCATTCCACTTTTCGTGGAATGGCATGAACTCAGGAGGGATCAAGTCCTTGGTCTTCACCCAGATGAAACGCCCTGCCAGCCTCGGTCTTGACTTTATCCATTCTCGAGAAGAGGCCTTGATAGCCCGGCGAGTGAGCTTGGTCACTCCCCTCAAAATATTCAGGTATTGTATAGACAGAGCAGATGGTCGATGATGATGGTACTCGGTGTTTTTCACAAAATAGCGGATAAGGATTACTATCCTCCAAAGAGACGGGTGGATTTGCCCAAGGCACACCTTGTATCTCTTGTAGGAATCCAATATAACTGGATCTACCGGGCTCAATGTGAAATGGTAAGTGTAAACACATAAATACGCCTCTACGTGGGAAGTAATGGCATCCTTAGGCCCGGGAACTACTACATCTTTGCCTTCCCATTTACAGTCTTCTCGGACCGTGGGAAGGACGTTTTTGGTAATGGAGCATATATACCTCAATGCTCCTTCACCCCCGTCCTGTTTGGATGATTGTTTCTCAACCTGAAGTCGTCCGCAATAGAAAAACCCCTGGGAATAAATATTTTTAAAGGGAGCTCGGGAGCTAGTTGGGCGACTGCTGACTCGGTGGCAGCCATTTCGGGAGCAGCCGCCTTGAGGACAACTATTTCGGGATCGACCGCCTCAGTACCAGTGGCCGACTGGGTAAATGAAGAGTCTTCCTGTTGGGGAACTGAATTTGAAGTTTTAGTCATTATTGTCTGATAAAATTTGAAGACTTGAAGAAGAAGTATGAAGGTTTGGAAGAATAGTTTGAAGGTTGAAACAACATGGTATGATGAATTTAAGAAGATCTGGGCAAGAACCTAAGAACAATTATGAAGATTTGAAGATCAAAATATGAAGGTATGATGGTCTGAAAGGAGTTGATGATAGCTAGGAAGCTCGAAGGTAAAAGATTGATCGGGAAGTAAAAAAAAGAACAAAGGATGGGAGCTTTTATCGGAAGGTTAGCGAGGCTTAACATTCGGAGGCAACCAGTTGATGGTTCACCAGTGGTCGAAGTCATAATGACGCGACTGATGGGATGTTTCGACTTCTTCATCGTAACGTACAGAAAAAGGAACTGGAGAACATCTATCGTTTGTCATCGTTTCGGAAAACCTTCTCTCTGAGAAACGAGGGGACTATCTTTATATGGGTAAAACCAAATCTAATGAGCACCCCGATTTCCCGGTGAGGCAAATGAAGCAATGACGTAACTACAAGGGATCAGAATCGAAGCAAGGATCCTCTCGTATGAAGGCCCGAACAAAACACCTGCCCTTGGAGCCATCAAGACCACACCCCTATATCCGTTTCGAGCTCTAAGACCTCGGGAAGTATTGCCAAATGACCACGTAGGATTATCCGTGTCCAACCGAATATGAAGGCGTGAATCTCGGTCCGTATCAGCAGCAAATCAGTGATTAGCGAACAGAAAGATTTTTACCTTTCTTTGAATTGTACTTAGGGTAAAATTCCCCTACTATATAAAGGGAACGTTGATTATTCAATGGCCACTATAACACACATAACATGACAATATACATTTGTTTTCTTGTCTTCTATGGGTTATTCAAAGTTCTTAATTTTGTTCACAGTTCTTCATAAGAGTTCGGTTCCGAACCGAAGGCAGGCTAATTGTCAGCGTCACAACCGAGCCCGGATTCGATACTATCACTGGTTTGGCCATTTATTCTATCTTTAATTTACTCATTTAAGCCTATTGACCACTTGTTTTTAATTAGTCCATATATCCTTAAAACCGTGTATAAATTCGATTGTTATCCATTTCTAAGTAAACAATAAAAAAAGCAGAAGGCATAATTTTTTCTTATAATATTCTTCGAACACTAATAAGACATCAAGAGATGAGCTTTCCGTCAATTCTAATATTCAGATTAACTTTTTATAAATTCTAATATTCCAGATGAACTTTCTGTCAATTCTTATTTCCAGATGAACTTGCTGTGAATTCTATTATTTCAGATGAACTTTTTCGACAATTCTAATATTCCTTACCTCAAATACAAATAGCCAATATAACATAGATGTCAATGGTCTTAGGACCACTTCTCTCTCTCTTTCTTTATAGAAATCAAGCTTTCTTTGCAAACAACAATTTCTAATGTGTTTGGATCGCCAGACATGTTAAGATCCTTAAATTCTCCGCAAAAAAGGTTACAAGATGCAAGTTTTCCATTGTTGCTTTCTATCATTAGTTCTACATCATTCATCCAAACTGACAAAGGTGTCTCTATTACCATTGGTCCTACGGTAAATTCTTTAATCCAAGATTCTCTCACTCCATACTTCTTCATCAACCATATGTCAATCGATTGACACGTTACAACGTTTTGGGGATAAAATATGTTGGTGTAACAAATCAAAGCTAGAGATTCATTCAAGACGACAAGACTCTTGCACGGTTCAATGTCTAAGCCCTCAGGAAATAGAATGTTTTGGAACAGCTCAGTACTAAAGTTGAAAGAAACGATCCAATTATCACCCGCTGGTGATAGGTTTGTTCCACGCCAATGAAATGCTCCGTTAATCAAAACATTAAAACAACGCCACGGATCTACTAAGCATTGTAGATCCTCAATTTTTCTCCAGGAATTTGTACTTAGATTGTAAACCTCAACTTTACTAACAAGCTTATAGTAATTATCTGTATCCTCCCATTCATATTCATGGAAAGGAATTAAGATTCTGATAACCTTATAATCATTAGTGTTGGGGTCAAACCCGATTCCCATGGTCATGATCACACAGGTGTTAAGTTCTATAACAGGAGATAAGTCTGGGCTATGAGGGAGAATGCTAGGAGGAAGTTCAAAAAATTCTCTTAACGTTGGGTTATACAAAGCAGTACTTCTGTAACTAGAAATGTAAACAATGCCATTGCAGGGACCTACAATGCTAACACCGATATAATTATCAATGTACTCTATATTTGATGCTATAGTTTTGAATGATTCATCATTTGAATGGAAGGATAGCATATTATTACCATAATAAATGCTATCATTCCCATCAATTTTGATGAAGCGCTTAAACAGAGTGAAGTAATTTGAAAGACAATCATGATTGTAATGGATGGAGATAAAATCAACGCTATATATCACATCGCACCAGGTTCTCGATAAACACTTGAATCTCATAAGGGATTTTACAGGCAATCGCTTCAAGATGTCTATCATGACATCATGTGGAAGGCTATCCCTTTGACCGTCCACCTCTTTCATCTTCTATGAAAAATCTTCTACCGAAAATAATGATTTTTTATGAAATTACAACATATATTGAACTAGTTATTACCAGAGTGATTACGATATCTTCATCTTGACAAACTTTATGGCCCAGTTACAGTAGCTTGATTGCAGATGCTTTACCTGGTTGAGGATCCAAATTTTTAGCGATCTGTCATGGTTTGTTGGTTTTTAACAGCAGTTCATTTCTTCATAACTAAAAACTACCCACGCGTAAGAACATAATTCTATACACAGAATTGCTGCTGAGAGAATATCGGTTGTTGTCTGAACAAGATAATCCCGATTACTTAAAGAAACAAAGCATCTTTTCTCGGCATGTTTGTCACGCTTTCCCTTTTTGGACAACGAAAATTTTTGCCGTATATTTCGTGGTTCTCAAATTTGTTATTTCTACAAATTAAAGTTTGTTTACCCTTAATATGAGTAACAATTAAATTGATATGCTGTTAAAGGATGTACGATTTAATTTAACACGAATGAACTATAAACAATAGATAATTGAATTAAAGAGAGTCAGAGCGATCAAACCAAGTGCAATGGATGAACAAGTTTGGCTTTTCTTTGGACGTCTCGAATTTGGTTTCGATTTAGCCCTGGGAATGGGCTCGGTTATAACTTAATAAAACAAACAACTAAAGAACACTTTAAACAATAGCTAAAGGCCAAAAATTAAGTTAACTGCTTTGATATGCGTGCTAACATTGGTTCTAAGATGAAAAGGTTTTCCCCTTTATATAGTAAGGGACATCCAACCCTAGTCCAAGTCTAAATAAGGTAAATAAATCTTCTCCCTCCAGTAAACGTTGATATGCAATTGACGTAGGGAAAAATTTGCATCGTAGCAACCAATTGAGGGCGGATATTACGGCTTCACGCTTATCGTGTGCAACCATCTTTTCCCCTTGTCTCGGCCATTTATGCTCAGACCCCATACTCGGCAGTCTCCACTATCCGGTGTACCGTTTGTCATATCCGGGCTCGGATGTATGGATTCCCATTCCCTCGTTATTACTCGAGGTCATATCGGGTCGTAGTGTCCTCTCGTTTCATGATCCGAAAATTGGGGGTAACTTTTATCCCCAATTTTACCCACAGACAAATAGTCCCCTCACTTGTCAGAGATCAGATTTATAAAAACGACAATAAGTGATTCATTAACCACGGTTCCTTCATCCGCATGCTACAATCGTGTCGGCGAATCAATGAAACATCCCATCAGTTTCGTCATTCTGACTTCTGACACGTGTCAGCCGTCGTTTGATCGTCCTTGAATGTGAAACGTCACTAATTAAATATCTCCTCCAATAAAAGCCTCAGTTCCTAGTTTTTCACTTTTTTACTTTCCGACTTCAAAACTTCTTAAGTTACCCCTGAACTTTCTACTTGTGCATAGTTCCTTCAAATTTTCATACATTGTTCTTAACATCTTTATTTCTTCATCTCGGATCTTCAAATCTTCATATTTTGTCTTTGAATCTTCAAGTTTGACCTTCAAATCTTCATACTCATATTCAAACCTTCATATCCGCCTTCAAACCTTCATATTCCCAGATATCAATGACGAAAATCACAAAATCCGTGCCTCAGATTACAGCCCCTTTAACTGCCACCTCAGCCGCTAATATCAAACCGACCTTACTGGCAGCAGATTGGGAACCTCCCCTTAAAGACTTTATTCCCGGAGGCTGCTTCATTGACAACGATTTTATGGTTGAGAAGTCCTCCAAACAAGGGGATTGTGGTGATGAGGTGTGGAGGTATATCTGCTCTATCACTGAAGTCATACTCCCGACGGTTCGGGATGATTACAAGTGAGACGGAAAGGAAATAGTCATACCCAGACCCGATGAGGACATTGCAAATCACGTGGAGGGGTACTTAAGCGTTTACACATACCCTTACACGTTTGGCTCGATGGACCCGGTGGTCCTCGACTTTTACAAAAGGTAAGAGTTCTACCTCGGGCAGATCCATCCATCTTTTTAGAGGATCGTGATTCTCCTCCGTCATTTTGTTAATAATATGGAGGAGCCCCGATTTACTATCGACCATCTACTGCGCATCTACGGCCCCCTAATCTTCCAAAGGGGGTTAATCATGCTTGTCTGATGGGCAAAGAAAGCTCCCTTATCGGGCATCAACAAAGACGGCAAACGAGGCTGGCAGAGGAGATTCTCTGGGGTAAAGATCGAGGTTATCATTCCCTCCGATTTCTTGTTGTTCCTTGAGAAGTGGAACTCAAAACATAAGTTCATCTCCTCTTAAGTTGTAAAATTACTTCTTTGGTTTTATTCATCTTTCTAATCGCCTGGTTTTCCCGTTGTGAAACAGTCGCCCGAGTTCCCTATGAAATCCCCCGTTTCAAGGAGAGGGTCGAGGGAATCTGCAAATAACTAACGTACTTGGAGCGCGAGTGGTGCAAACTCTCAAAAGGCAAGTGGGAGGCCAGTTCCCATGGTGAGTGTCCTAACCCCGATTGAATTTCCTTTTTTATTCTACTGTGATTTTTTCTAAGTCCCTTTCTTCATTCCACAGGTTTTCCCAAGACAACCAAGCTCTGAGGAGTGGACGAGGATGAGGCATCTCTATCTACAAAACCCTCCACTTTAGGACAGCCCGCCACCGAGGCCTCTGTGAAGGAGGAGGAGACAAAGACAAGAAAGAGGGGATCTTTTGGTTCCCTAGATGTGGACGTCGAGGCCAAGAAAAAAGGGTTACGATCAGGGTCTGAAAAAGCAATAAAAAGAGTACTCGACCAAGAATATCGGACCATGATTCCCCATATTGGTCATGGACTACCCTGAAGATGACGACATGGAGTTTTTTGCCTATGAGCCGGCCACAATTGCATGTTGATATATATACATATATATATATATATATATATTTGCATCATAATTAGGTTTATAAACCCATAGAAGCATTTTACATAATTTTTCATGATTTTTATAAGACCTAAAATAATTTCCTTCTGCATTTTTATTGTATAAATATTCAATAATTATTCTTTAAATTATTATTTCTATTATTTACACAAACATGCATATTTTTAAATATTTTACTTCAATTTTTCATAATTACATTTGCATTTTTAGGCTAATTGCACATTTTTGCAATAATAGCCTATATTCATGTATAATTACGTTATTTATGCAAAATTAAATTTTTATATTTTTATAATATTAAGTTATTATTTTTAATTATTTTAGTGCACAAATAATATTGTTTTTATTTATTAATTACTTTTATAAATTATTTTTTGCTAAAATGTTGGGTATTTAAAAATTTGCCTCTTACTAAACCTATTTTCAGGACAAAACGATGGCCTATAATATCTAATACACATGCCCAAATACCCCAGTCCAAGCCAAATTAACCCAATCCCTAACTCGGTCGCGACCCGTTTCTAGTAACCCGACCCAACTACCTTTTAATCGTGATTGTTATTCTCTGAGATTAATGACCCATATCTATTCCCTCCCTTTCAATTTCCTACCTAGAAGCCCTAGCCCATAATCCCTCTAACAAGCCGCCCCTAAATCCTCTCACCCCCCTCACTCTCTCTGAAGAACCCTAGACGCCTCCCCATTAATCCCCTCTCCTAATCCCGTTGATAATGGGATTTTACCATTATTTGCTTATCATATTTGGGTTCCTTTGGTACTGGTTACTCGATTTTGGTATTTCTTAAAATTTTCCTAATTTTGGAAAATACCACATCTATATCGGACGAGAATCGATTCAATCTTGAAGATTCGTGTGATATTTCATCCATATACGCGAGATGAACTGGATCCTTCATACCAGTTGTCCGATTTTGAGTTTAAAATCCTAACTAGGGTTTGGAGTTTGATACTTTTCCTTTTTTGTTGTTTTACTAACTTGCATGCAAGATTTCTCCCTTTTTTCGTCCGTGTTTACTTGATTTCTTTCCTTACCTATGCTTAATCAATTATTTTCCTTGTTTGTACATCCGATTTTACTGCTATATAAACCCCTCCCCATCCCCTCTTAAGACGGACCTAAATCATTAAAACGTTTACTAAAAAACTGAAGTTATTGCTCTTTGTTATTAATTCTCTTGTTCTATACTCAGGTTCTTGGCTGGTTGAAAGCCAAGGCCACTGAGATTATGGATTCTTGCTCTTCGTTGATATTCATAACACTATGAACTTTTGTTCTTTCTTGTTTTTTCGCATAAGTGGTGAGTCACTGGACTTCGTAGATTCATTCATATGTATCTGTGATTAGCATATGTTTTCACTCCTAGAGTTTTGCTTAATGTGTTCTTGTGGGTTGTTCTATATGTTCTACTTCAATTTTAGCTCTCCTTAACTTTTAACTTCGTATTGAAAGTGTATAGCATGCCTAAACCCTATTTGAGTAAATTAAATTCCTTTCAAGCTTATCTAACCTATGTGTTGCAACTTATTGATGTTTAGGACCTTTTCACTTTAGCCTCTCTTTGGTGTTTAATTTTGCTATCAATCCTGTTACTTGAACATGCTTTACTTACATAATTCATATCCCTTTTAATAGACTAGTTCATTGTGTTCAAAAGCATGAATGTATTCATTCAATATATGGTACAAGCCCGTTTCTTATCCTATTCTGAATTTGCCGTGATGATATCTTGCCGATATAACATGTTTGATCATGTTCCCTATTAGTATGGTTCTAGCATATCTTGACTTCCTTGACATCCTTGTAGTTGCAATGACTTGTATTCACCCTGTCTAAATTATGTTGCCAATTATTATGATTCTCTCTTGTAACACTAGGACCTATACTTACCATAATTTGAACTTTTTCCTTACTATGAGTCTGTGTACACCAATTCTGTAAACATGTTCTATTAATGTGTAGCTACTTATGCACTAGGTATTGAACTTGTTCTTCTGAATCTTTGCTAAGTCTATTCTTAAAACCTATAGCATGTTCGATTATCTGCTCTATGTGTTCAACTTGACTAT